GAGCGCCGTCACCGCCCCCAGCCCCATCCCGGGGGGATTCGGGATCCATCCCTGCCCCCGATCCCCCGCCCGCGTAACACCCAATGCCTCTTCCCTTAGAGCGGGGGTGCCGGGCTCAGCCCTTCCAGCATTTCAGTCTTGCCTGCTGCATCCCGGTTTTTATTTAACAAAAGGCACATAATTTAATATTTTTAATATTTTATGAAAATTATTTAAATAAAAATAATTTAAATTATTTAAATTATAATTATAATTACAATTATTAATTTAATTATTATTAAAATTATAATAACTTTAAATAATTTAAAGTTATTTAAATAAAAATCTCGTTGTCATACTATTCTGCTTATATTTCCTCTTTAAAGAAGGTAATTAATTTTGTTTGGGGTTTTTTTCTGGTTATATTATATTAGCTCTTTGAGTCAAAAGACCCTTCAACCATTTACCACTGAGCTGCTTTGCCTTGAGCATTTTATTGCCTTTAAGAGAATTGAGGATAAAGCATCTGGATGGAAATCCATGCTTGTCCTGTTTTTGCTTCCAAACTGAGATGAACTTCCTGGGCTCCACTTGGCTGTTCTTGAAAGCAAAACAATGAAGATTTTGCTTCCCTCTAGGCAGGACTTCACTGCTTGACAGGGAAAAGTTCAGCTTTTTGATAACATGGATTTCCTTACTTGGGATCCCTTCTCTTCACTACAGTCCATCACACATCCATGTGGTACTTTTAGCTCTGGTGGGAGTCTCCAGATCTGACCTAAGCATCTATTCAACCAGCCTGCTTTCTTGTATTCAGGGTCTTTTTCCATCACACTTTCCAAGAGCTCTGATTTAACAGATGATATTTAAAAAATCAGTGTCATAGCAAGTCCTCCTTGAGGTTATTTTGAAATTAGAGTTTCTGAGTAGTCTCCTGACAATGCCAATCCAATTTATTCTCTTGCTTTGATAAACATTTATTTAAGATGTTTCATACTACTTAAACAAACTCTAATGCTGTAATCTTCACAATGACAAAATAATACATAAAAATACAAGAAAGGTCTCTAGAAATGGAATATTTACAAAAATATCAAGTTTAAAGCAGCAATAGGACATCTATTTACAGTCTTGTTAAATCTACATCATTTAATGATTAAAGCTTAGGACTTGCCCTAAGGTGGGCAAGCATGACTTCCAGCTTTACCATAGGCCTGTTCTGTGATCTGTGCCAAGTCTTTTAACCTCATTAAATAAGGGTCAACTCTGCCACTTTTGAGACTAATCCATGATTAGCAGAGCAAATTGTTCCTGTATAAATGAGCTTTTGCTGGTTGCAAATTTTACCAAGATCACCTAAATACATTAGAAATTACATGTTTATCTAAAATGTAAAGAAGTAGAGAGTCTAGACAAATAATTTCCAAAAAATGGACTGATCATGGGAGAGAAGTAAACACCTTCAAAGTTCTCAGTGAGTGAACTAAGTGTAACTGTTGAGCTCAAACCATTTCCACATTACTTAAAACCAGCAGAGATTTTTAAAACAGGCCTGAGACAAGGACTGACTGTGAATGTCTCCAGACTTCAGGAGAATTTAACACAGCTCCAGCTTTGCTGGTTTGGCCCCAGCTTTACACTGGTCTCAGCTCACAGCCTCTGTCTGTGCCACCCAGAATATTTGGGGTTCTCATCCAAACTGCCATCAGGACAGAGATGCCACCTCTAAGTGGGCACAAAACCGAGGGGTGGATCAAGCCAAGGACAGCATCTCCCAGGTTATCAGTGATTGTGAGATGTGTGCTGTGATCAAACAGGCCAAGGGAATGAAGCCCCAGTGGTATGGTGGGCAGTGGTCCAAGTACAAGTACGGGGAGGCCTGGCAGGTTGACTGCATCACACTGCCCCAGGCACACCAAGGCAAGCAGTACGTGCTCACAATGCTAGAGGCCACGACTTCCATGAAAGAATGCAAAACATAGGTTATTTACAGAACTGTGTGTGAGAAAGTTTGTTGAAAGAATGTAAACATCAGAAGGCTTAACAAAGTCTTACAAAATCAGGGCGACATCCCCTCTCTCATTCAGTGACCACCATGCTCCAGGGATGGGACCCCAAATAAACCTTCATCTGATCAGCACCCTCAGAAGCCGTGTGCAGTCTCCTTGCCTGCCTGCTGCTGCCAGCCAACTCACAGCCCAGGCGGCCCTCTGGGGACACCCCCCAGAACAAACAACAACATACATACACATATACATATATATAGTAAAGAACTGTTATTCCTTTTCCCATATCTCTGCCTGAAAGCCCCTTAATTTGAAAGTTATAATAATTCAGAGGGAATGGGGTCACATTTTCCATTCCAAAGGAGGTTCCCGCCTTCCTTTGCGGACACCTGCCTTTCAAACTAGGGCAGTGTATAACTGCTAAAGAGGAACAGGAAAAAAAATTCCTTCATAGAGATAATTTCCAGTAATTTAAATGAAAATTCCACTTGCGAATATGTATGAGAGTACACATAATGTCTTTTAAAAAAATAATTTTTTAGCTGGAATGATGTAATTTTTTGGCAATAATTAAAAGTCAAACACCTTTTTTTTCCTTTTGCCATGTTTATAAATTGTATTTCAACTGCCTGTGCCCTGGCTGTGCAACTTTAAATATTAGCTTGGGAGGATGACGATGTCTAAACAGGACTCACAATAAATCCGATATACAGGGCTGGAGTCTTTTCTTCTTTGTCACTCCTGCGCAGACTCACTGGCTCGGAAAATGAGGAGCCAAGGCAGCACATGCATTTAAAGCACAGCTCCTGCCTTAGAACCAGTCCAAATGAGGAAAAAATTAAGTGCAAGGCTCTGCTGCTCTCCAGTGGAGCTGAATGCAGCCACCACAGTTAAAATTCCATCCTTTCTCAAGCTTTCTGCCTTTTTTAAAGCACATTTTCATTTCTTTGCTCCTGGACTGCTGCTGGGTTGCCGAGTTCCTCAGCTGTACACGTGACATTACCTAATGAAAAATACTGATTTCCCCAAGTTCAAGTTGTATGATAGAAGTTGCACCAAACGAGGTTTAGAGTGAATACCAGGAAAAATTTCTTCACTGAAAGCGCTGTCAAGCCCTGGCAGAGGCTGCCCAGGGCAATGATGGAGTTACCATCTCTTGAGGCATCTGAAAGATCTGCAGATGTGGCACTTGGGGACATGGTTTAGTGGTGTCCTTGGCAGTGCTGCATTAATGGATGGACTTGATGGTCTTAAAGGTTTTTCCCAACTTAAATAACCCCATGATAAAATGAGGGATGTGAAACAACTCAAAAAATTCTCAATCTCAATAGGTATTTTCAAGTTTACTGTAAATGTCTGTAACAGCTCCCATTGTTCCCATGACATGAACCAGAAGGGAACTCCTGTTCCAAATCTTAGGAAAATCAATCTCTCTCATCAAGTGCAAGATGCCTTCTAAGCTGTATTATTGTTAAGAAAACAGGATTTCTGATATTACCTGGAGACCTTATTAGAAAGGAAAGGCCTTTTTGCTGCCAGACACCAGCAAACATAGAGCTGCAGAGTCCCAAAATCCAGGAGCTAAGCTTCTAACTCCTTCAGTCATCCCTCAGTGAATCACTGGGTCTATTTATGCCTCCATGGGTGTGATAAACAAATACCCTGGGAGCTGTCAGACTGCACGGCCTCACATCTGCCATTCACAGAGGGAGCTGCCTACGGGACACCCCAACCCCACAATCCAACCGGAGCTCCCCACCCTGGTCCCTGGTAAGGGACTAAAGGGACCAAACCTTCTGCTGTCAGGGGCCCCCAGAGCCTCCACCAGTGGCACCAGGGCGTTGATATTCACTCTGGTGACCTGGGGTGTCCTGGCCTGTATCAGGAACAGCATGGCCAGCAGCACCAGGGAAGTGATTGTCCCTCTGTTCTTGGCACTGCTGTGTTCAGTTTTGGGCCACTCACTTTAAAAAGGATATTGAGGGGCTGGAGTGTGTCCAGAGAAGAGGAACAAGGCTTGTAAAGGGGCTAAAAAACATGTCTTATGAGGCTGGGTTTGTTTAGTCTCGAGGAGGCTCAGGGGTGACCTCACAGCTCTCTAAAACTACTGACAGGAGCATGTAGTGAGGTGGGGATGGGGCTTTTCTGCTGTGCCTGTAGAGAGAAGACCAAAGAAAACAGCCTTAAGCTGAGATAGGGGAGATTCAGATTAAATATTTGAAATTTTTTTTTGTTACTGTTCATGTGGTCAGGGGTTGAAAGGGGTTGCCCAGCAGATGGTGGCATCACCACACGGGAGCTGTTTAAGAGGCCTCTGCAGTAACATGGTTTACTGGTTTAGGAGTTACAGGGTGACAGAACCACAGAATCAACTAGGTTGGAGAAGACCTTTGAGATCATCCAGCCCAACCTGACCACCGTGTCAATCAGACTGTGGCACTGCATACCACATCCAGTCTTCGACACCTCCAGGGACGGTCACACCTCCCCGGGCAGCCCATTCGAATGCCCAGTCACTCATTCTGTGAAGAATTTCTTCCCAATGTCCAACCTGAACCTCCCCTGGCACAGCTTAGGGCTGTGTCCTGTTCCTTGTTCCCTGGGGCACAGCAGAGCCCGACGCTCACCTGGCTGCACCCTCCTGACAGGAGGGATTGTAGGGAGGGATAAGATGTCCCCTGAGTCTCCTTTTCTCCAGGCTGAGCTCTCACAGCTCCCTCAGCCGCTCCTCACAGGAAGTGTGCTCCAAACCCTTCCCCAGCCTTGCTGCTCTTTTAAAGGTCTCTTCCAATCTTGAGGATTCGGCGATTTGTCAAGACTCGGTGACTCCTGCCGTGTCTCCGACAGCCCAGCCCCTCCCGCCGCCGCCCTGCTCCCGCCAAACGCCTTTACCGCGAACACCGCGAATGCCGCCAGCGCCCCGCACAGGCCCCGCCCCCGATGACATCACCACGCAGACCACACCCCTGGTCCAGCCTTACCGCCCGTAGCCCCGCCCCGCGCTGCCGTCCCGCCAGGCCCCGCCCGGCGCGGCGGGTGAGGTCACAGGCGCGCGCCGCTCCCCGCCCGGCCCTGCCGAGGCTCTGCCGCTGCCGCAGGGAGCCGCTCCGAGCAGGACCTGCCGGGCCCCGCCAGGCCCCGCGCGACCCCCGCCGCCATGGAGCTGGCGGACGGCGTGGTGTACCAGGAGGATCCCGGCGGGCCCGGCCCCGCCATGATGTCGGAGCGGGTGTCGGGGCTGGCGGGCTCCATTTACCGCGAGTTCGAGCGGCTCATCGGGCGCTACGACGAGGAGGTGGTGGCCGAGCTGATGCCGCTGGTGGTGGCCGTGTTGGAGAACCTGGACTCGGTGTGCGCTCACAGCCAGGAGACCAGCGTGGAGCTGGAGCTGCTGCGGGACGATAACGAGCAGCTGCTCACGCAGTACGAGCGGGAGAAGGCGCTGCGCAAGCAGGCCGAGGAGGTGAGCGCGGCGCTGGGCCGGGGCGGCTCCGTGGGGGCGGCCGCACCTCCCGCGCTGGGCCTGCCCGGGGCAGAGCGGGCGGCGCCTGCAGCAGTCCCGGGGCTGCCCCGTCCGGGCGCGGGGCTGGCGCTGGGGTCGCGACACGCCTCGGCAGAAGGATGAGGAGGGCGCGGGGTCCCTGCCGGTTCGTGCAGCTGAGCCGCAGCGGGAGCCGTCCGTGCGGGTCCGTGTGCCTGCGGTGCCCTGAGCCGCTCGTCCCGCGGGGATGCCGGTAACCCCTGCGGAGCGCTGCGCTGCCCGTGGGGCCGCGCGAGGGGAGCGGCGCAGACGTGGAACCGAGCGCTGGTTGCGCTGTCACGGCCACGCGGGATGCCCCCCGCGGAGGGAGGCGGGTTGTCCGTTTTTGCAGAAATAGTGACAGCGCCTTGCAAAAGGCATGGAAATACACGGTGTGTAGGCTGAAACCCTTCGGAGTTGGTACATAAAGCTGCAGGCGGCAACAGGTGGTGTGGACTCTCCAGGGATGTCGACTCTGATTTAGGATGTTAGATGTTTTTATTTAGTGTTTGTACCAAGAATCATTTCAGCATAAACAAGCTTGCCAGGCATTATCTTATATGATATTATAAAGCAATGCAGTAGGAAGCAGCTGTGCAGGATAACTTCCTCCAGCTCATTGTCTTGCCAAACTCCTGAAGGAAATTGGATTGGCAGCAGTATCTGCAATGGAGCAAGCATCTTACAAATGTATTCCCAGACCCCTTGTCCTGTGCTAATCTCTCAGGTTGTGCTTGTCTTCTAAATTTTCCAAAAATCAGAAGAACAACTGCACTGAGGGTGAACACAATATTAACAGTAAAAGCTTAATTTAAAGAACACTAGCCCTGTACAAATACTTGTTTGTTTCTGTTATAAGTGAGTGCAAAATGTTGCCTGCAGATTATTCCAGGACTCAGTTATGAAGGACTGTGGTATGAATGGTGTCCCCCCAGCTCTTGGACTGATAGATCATTCATCCTTGTCAAACACATGGTGGTTTTGTGATGCTTTATGGACTCCAGTCAGGGACTGGAGTTGCCACACTATTTCTGACACAAGCTGATGTAAAAGGGTCTTTTAGAAAATATGTTTATATTGAGAGTAATATAAAGGGATTGATAAATCCCTGAACTAATTAATGAGAAAATCCATCAGGCTTGAAGCACAGGCAGTATTTGCCAGATCAAAAAACAGGCCTTGGGCAGCAGGACAGAAACCTTACCAATGTGATGAAACAGAACATGGAGTTAATTTTGTTGTTGTAGCTTTTCAGGAACTGTGTGTGCCTGTATTGGTAGTATGCTTCACTGCCATCTCCATTTCTCTGTGTCATGATAAATTAAGAGGACTGGCTTTATGCAGCTGAAGAACCAATGGTCATGCTGCAAGACACCTGGCTGATCTTTCCAAAGTGCAGTTAGACCAAAGACTGTATTTTCATGGTAAGGACAAAGGTCATTTTTGTGATGTGCTGAGGTCATTGCACTGTACAGTGTGGAAGTGTTAGGTACAGCCTGGTGTATTCAGGAGAGGCACATGTGTTAGTCAGGCATAGTTGCTGAATTATTTTTTCGATGCTGATGGGTGCAGTATGGTTGAAATAAAAGGAGGGAACAGAAATTTAACACTATTTTCCTTGGACAAAAAGTTGCTGGTTTAGCACGTTTCTTTCGTTTGGAGTTTGCCTGTGTCATGTGGCAGCAAAATGGAGAATTTTGAGCTGCTGAGTTCTATATTTATTGTCATCTGTTCATAGATTCACACAATGGTTTGGGTTGGAAGGGGCCTTAAAGTTCATGTCACTCCAACCCCTGCCCGGGCAGGGACACTCTTGCAGCATCAGGTTGTTCCAAGTCCTGCCCAGCCTACCCTTCAGCACATCCAGGGATGAGGCAGCCACAGCTTCTCTGTGCAATTAACACACCTTCTTTTACTTTCTGCTTGTTGTTGTAGGTAATTTATTTGCAGCAGTGTCTTTATCAACATTAAATAGTTTACTATTTGGGTAGGGGTCTCCTTATTCCATTTTTGTAATTTGCCTTCTTTATTTCCTGTGCTTAAAAAGTGTTACTAAAGAAATATCTTAAAAGTTGTTGCCTGTGGATTTCTGGAATAATTTTTTTTTAAGTCACCCTGACAGAATTTCTGGGCCTACTTCTTAACCCTCTGGGTACAGTTTTGATCTTTGTAGTTGCTGCAAAATCATTTGTCTTGACTTTTAACATGGTAGGTTTTTTGATATCGCTGAAGGAATAGAGGAACCAGCTGCTCTGCTGTTCTGCTTCCAGTTCTTACCTTTCCACTTGGTGACTGTGAGGCAGCAATTCCTGCCCCAAAGAAGTGGGAGAGGAACCAGCATTTGTGCTTTTGCCATTTTATACCCTGATAAGAGTTACTTCTGCAGCCATGTGCTGTTTCACACCTGCACTTGTAGCTGGCCTGTGCTTTGTGTGCACTTGCAAAGAGGATAAAATCTACTCCATTTAGCTATGCCAAATTAGGATATCTTTTAGCTTTTCTGCTGTTGGTGGGATTAAGCTGTTTTTGAAATCTTTGGCAACTGTGAAAAAGGATTTACCACTACTAAAATTGCTTTAAGTGATAGCATGAATTTGATGTCTGCTTTTTCTTGCTGTTCCCAGAGGTAACTTCTTCGTTAGGATTGTACGTTGACTAAACACAGTGCAGTAAGAGTTCAAGTATTTTTAACTTGAGGGAACAAAACCGAGTTGCATTTTACAGAAAACTTTCACTCTATTTTACGGCTGTCAAGTTGTTTTCATTTTCATGTATTTTTGTGTCTCCCAAGTCCATCTGAACTGGCTTTTTAGGGGATTTTTTATCTCCCTGCTCCAAGAACTTGCCATTGGCTGAGAATCATTGTTGCAATACACATTGCTGAAGGACGTGTCATGGAGTAATAAAGATTGCCAAGTGGGTGGGACCCTGACATCTGATATGCTCAGCACTGCACCTGGGTCCTGTGACAGGAAAATCAGTCAAGATGTAAAGAGACAGAAGATGACATAAATATAGGAAGAGATATTTCATTTGACTAATAATGTGTTACTGAGTGCTTCAGTGGTTGTGTGTAGGACAGAGGGTTCCAAATGTGCTGGGCTGTTGTGTAGTCTGAGTTCTTGTTTATTCCAAAGACCTCTGCAAGCTTTCAAGTAGGTTTAAAATTGATTACATAAATATTTTTGAGTTTAATTGTGCAGGACTTTCTACACTTTTTATATGAGGCCTGTAAGAACAGGTTGGACAAAGGTCTGGAATGACACATGTGATCCTGCCTGGAGAAAATGGGATGGATTAAATGGGAGTTGCCAAACATGGCTGATGATGGTATCACAGGTTGGGTTTCGGTAGCAGGCACATGCAGGAGGAGCTCTGCATCACATGCTGTGTTACACCTCATCATAGCCTAATCAAAATTAGGATCCAGACATCCAGTGCTGAGCATCAGAACCTGGAAACAAGATTCCTTTTAAGGATCATTTCAGCTGTGTTTTCTGTAATCTTATATAATCTGGTCTGATTGTTTTAAAGACAGGTTGGTGTCCTTCAGCTTGCTCTTAAAAAAAAAGTACCAAAAATCTCACTTCTCACACTTATCATTAGAGTTGCAAGATACATCTTTGTGGCCCAAACAGGACATGACTTAAAATGGGGAAAACTAGATTTTTGTCTGCCTCGGTGTTTTGAATAACCAGTAGCTGGGGTTGAAATGAGAGGATGGCTATTGAGTGCCTACATATGCTGCTGGATTTACATTAAATAGTGCAGGAGATAAGTAGTGTTTGAGTGTATTGTCAATGTAAATTAAGAAAAAAAAAGTATTTTAATATGGGTGCTCAGCCTGTCCTTGGCTGCTCTGGTGGTTTATCTCACTAGTTCTGTCATACTTTTGCAGGCTTAGGGTCTGATGATCAGTCTGCTGGGGCTGTGTCTGTGATTATACTATCACCAGAAGGAGAAGTGAAACCAAATAAAAATATTCAAAGTCCAAAGTTCTCAATCCCAAGATCTGATGAGGTATAGTTTACAGCAGGGGAGGGAAAAATACTCAGCTGTAATTACAGAAATGCTTTAAAGTGTAGCAATGTAGATTTGAACTTGAACAAAATGAAGGTAAACTAGTGGAAGTTAACAAAACCGTTCTAGGCAAAACCAGTTTTACCACTTGCAGTTGAAGAACTTGAGAGGAAATACAAAATTATATCTATCTGTAGTTTCATGAGTAACAATGACATTAATGACTCTGAATGGCTATTTGTTATTCATGAGTATAATTGTCCCTGGCCTTTAGCAAGCTATGACACATTTTTGGGAAATCATCAGAGAAACAACTAAACAAAGATGTTACAGTTTTATAATTCTTATTTCATGTTTTCCCATGTTTAGTGTAGCTTTAGCTCCAGTGCCAAATTTGCGTCAAACTTTGAAGCCCTTTTTGAAAAGGGAGTCTGCCAAGAATAGGCCAGACATGACTTGAATATTAAAGGGGCAAAAGTCTAGAATCAGTTACTACAAAGAAGAAGTGAAACAAACTTAAACATTGAGGTTTTCAAATTACATTGACTAATTAATATTCCCAAACTTCCTGTGGAGGGGGTAGAAAGATTCCTGCACATCTGTGCTTGAAGAGGGATTTTTCAATGGCAGCACCCAAAGCGGAGCTACCTGGGCTATGTCAGCTGTTCCTCAATTGTTGTGGTTTAGTTTCAAACACAGTCATATGAACACCATGCCCAGTCCTGTGATAGCTGTGCAGAGCTTGTCTGAAAGGAACTCTTGTTTCACTTCTACATTTGAAGTACTTTTTAGTCAGAACTTCTTCTGATGATCCTGTGCAATTGAAGCCCTTTTCATAAGGTTATGAATTTCTGCTTTTGTAAAAGCTCTAAAACACAACGGCTACAATGTAGTAATAGTTCACTAACAGTTGATGTATGACCATTAGAAATATTTTTCCCACTAAATTTTCCAAACAATACATAGGAAAAAATATTTAAATCAGATTACTGTTTTCAAGTTGCTGCCTTCACTGTCTCTTCTTCCATGCAGTCCTCAGTTGCCTTTGCCCCTTCAACTGTCGTGGATTTTTGGAATTTTTTCCTGCAGAGGTTTCTCCTCCCTGTTCTTTGAGCCTTCTGCATAACTTGTGTTGGTGGCCTTGTCTTCTCCTTGCAATGCAGAGCAAAGCGTATTGCAAACATCCTTGGCTTTTAGAAGTATTCTTTGTGCCAGCAGTACTTGCTGAATTTCTTGACTTTTTGGGTAAGATAAATAGCAAAAAAAGTGCTTTCAAAGCTGCTATAATGGTGTGTTGGTAATTTCTATGTTAGGGAGTGTAAGCACTGATGCATTTATCAGTGAATTCCAGAATATGGGGAGTCACAAGTGGGGTAAAGCAAGGAAACAGAAGGCGATAGTGATCATCACGGAGTTTTCTGTGCACTTGACAGATTGTAGATGATTATTAAGGATTTGATGAAGACTATGAGAATTTATAGCGGAATTGGGTGGGAATGGAAAAGATATCAAATCATTTTGGTTGGCTCTGCTGCTGGTGTGTCCCTGTTGCAGTGTCTGTACCTTTGTGCTCATGGGTGAACATAACTTTACTGATGATCAGTCAAACTAAGGATGCCACGACTCCCTGTGTTCACATGCACTGTTGGCAGTTGTTGTACATTAAGTTAGACGATAATAAAATAATTCATATTTTTGTTAATCCCAAGCAGGTTATCTGGAGTAGCTGGCACTTAGTTGAAAGTTATTACACAATATAATCTAGACTGGGTGCTTGACTGATGGACCTGGACTGAAATAGTTCTTTGTGTTTAAATGTGGCCTGTGGATCTGTTCAGTTGTTTTGGAAACCACCTTGCACCCTCCTGGCTGTGAAGGGCTGCTGTGTTTCTTCCTACCTGCTGCGAAACCTGTAATTAGTTGTTTGGTCTAACTTAACTCTTCTGTTGTTGTTTAGAAATTCATTGAATTTGAAGATTCTCAAGAACAAGAGAAAAAGGACTTACAGACCAGAGTGGAAGCATTAGAGTCACAAACTCGACAGCTTGAACTAAAAGCAAAAAACTATGCTGATCAAAGTAAGTAAAACATGCTGCTCTCCTTTTAAGTGGTATTAGTGCATTTTAATTTTTGTTCTGTGAAGTGATAATACATATGCTAAGTATCTGTGACCTCTGATTCCTGTGTTTAGGCAGATAACTGGATTTAACTCTTGTGCAAGTCTGTTTTCTTTAGAATTAAGGCAAACAAGTCAGATAGGAGCTTGTGACTTGTAGTCAATTCTTCTGGTATCCTGCTTGTATTGCTTGCCTTTTCAACAGTGCTTTCATCACATTTAGCAACTTTTTCAGGAGATGCTTTGATTACTTCCTTGTTAGTGATAATAAAATAAGGTATTTTCTTCCTATTAAACAGTTGTCTGTGCTAAAGTAAAGGTAATCTTCAGGTTTAGAAGCACAGCTGGGAGGAGAGCATTGATGGTGGTTCTCATTAACTTTTATACAATTTTTGCCGAATTATTTATTTCTAGGAGACATTCCGTTTTTATGGAAAAAATAGTTTTGGGAGAACACTTCCCTTTTTAGAGATGTTCTGTGTAATTGAAAAAAAAACTTATGGAATTTTTTAAAAAAATATGATAGTGATCAGTTGTCTTGAAATGCTTGAAGTTACATATATTGTAGTTTAGACATTCTGCTGGGCTGCTTCTTTTCCAGCCACACAGTCATTGAATGAAACTTCATCATCAGTTTTTCTACTTTTGTACTTCAAACTTCTAAGCCATTTCTGTTGATGTGAGCCTGGTGTGTTCATCAGTTAATATCTAGCTTTTATTGCTGGACCCTGCAGGAATGTAAAGTGAGACTGTGACGAGGCTGAGAGATGACCAGTTTCTAAAAACAGTGTCAGTCATCAAAGTAGCCCCTTTTAACTCTTCTTTCATCCTTTATTTCTACTCAGCTACATTTCCTGCCCCTAACACAGTAAGTTATAGCTCTTTTCCAGCTGAAGCTCTAAAACCTTTCCTGTAAGGTTTAATTTTCATTGACGTGATTGAGTCTATAGCAGAGCAGGAGTATTAGAGTGTTAAGATGAATGTAGGTGGCATCTAGGGCAGCATTTTACTGAAATTTGGACAGTTCAGAATGTTGTTGGCAAATCTCAGAGGCATCACCTGCTTCATTTTCCACTGTTCAAATATTCCCAGATTCTGTACAGGCAGGGATGAAGGAGCACTTAAAGAAATCTTTCCTAGCAAAGACCAGGGTGATTATTTCCTAGGATTGTCTCTTTGTAAATGAAGTCGGGCTAAAATGGATAATTGTAGAGACTTGTACCAGAAACCCTGCGATTCTTGTGGAACAGTGTATGTGTGTATATTTAAGAGCATCACAGCAGGGGAAAATAAAACGTTGTAGCAGGAGTTAAGTGATCTGTTTTGGTGACAAAGACACTGTTTCTAGAAGGCCTGTGCTCTAAACACACATCCCCAACAGCTTGTTCATGGGAGACCCTGCTCTCTGACAATAAGATTTGTGGATCAAGATTGCATCCTGTCTTGTAGGCCATGGCTTTATTCTGTTAATACAATCCAAAGGACAAAGTGGTTGCACGAAAAAGAAAAATCAGTTGGATTTCTGGCAATGTATGTGGCAGCATACCTGGAGTTTCTCTAATAGAAATTACATTTACCATGTATTGATAACAACATTTTATGTTGCTCTGTGAGTCTCTTGGTGTGAAATTCTCTGAAATTCTCTTTTTGCTTTGAAGCCTTCAAGTATATGTATGATTTTAAAGTTTTATTTATATATTGTGTGTATATGTGTGTGCATATATATGTAATAATAATGAAAGTATTTGCCCAAGAAACTCATTTTTTCCAGTAGAATCACTGAGGGTTGCTAGAACTACTTTTTTTGTAAGAAGTAATGTTACTAAAAACAGTTACCATAACTACGTAAAGCTCTAGTGATACAACAATGGTTTTAGACAGTTCCAAAATCTGTTTATTGGAGGAAAAGAATCTTTGTTTTGGAGTGGTGGCAAAATTGTGTATTTGGAGAAACAATAGGGCTGGGTTAAACACTGGGTTTGCTTATGCTTGGTCTTGGTAAGCTGTCTGGGACAGCATGAAAGGCTGTTGGGAAGATTTGACATGCTGCTGATGCAGAGCAAGATCAAAGGGAACATAAGCACATTTGTTGAACGCCTAATGAATATTACACAAGTTAACTGGTTTTTTTAGTGATCTAAATTTCTAAGGCACGAAAACCATACAAGTACATATTCGTGAAGCAGCTTAACCTTACTGCATTACCTTGTTTTGTTTTATAGAGCAGGCAACTGGCATGTTGTACCATCCCAGTCACCGATGCGTCACTTTAATTCAACTCCAAGTCTTTTAGCTGTATTTCTTTTTCTCTTCTACTTCCTATAGTACTGCCTGTGCATCTAAGTTAGGCTCTGGTATTGCTAACTGTGTTACCACATCGACATTCAAAACGGTGGCAGTGTTATCACTGGTAATGGGAGTTGCAAATGTCTGGCACAGAGCAAGTAACCAAATAAAACCTGGGTCTGGAGTGCAGAGTGAGATCACAACATCAGTTGGTGATATGAGTAATAGATTAGAATGGAAAACAGGTAATACATGGTTTTGTGTCATACTTTACCTACAAGATGATTTGCTTTTTGTAGGCTGCCTGTGCTCTGCGTGTTTTTACTTAAATAAGCAAAGCCTGTGAGAACAAGTTTTGTCCATTAAAAAGTTTTGACTCATTCTCTTTAACACTGGCAGTGCTGAGGATTTAGTGAAGGCTTGTCAGGTGGGGCAGCTCTTAAGTTACATGGTTAAGGTCTGCTTGATTGTATGTGATTAAATCTGTGTGCCAGTTAAAATTGCTCAAGAAGTTATGGTTGTTATGTCCTGAATTTTAAGTACTTGTTTGTGCAGTCTAAGTGATTGTCATGCTAAATAAAAAGGAAAAAAAATATTTCTTTGCACTTAAATTTACCCTGTGGGATTGCATCCTTAGCTGAGTGTTCAATCAGGTTGGAATAAAGCTGCTGTTTGACTTCTTTTCCCCTCATCAGAAATTGAAACAGTTGCTGCCAGATGAACGAACTACCTTGAAGTGCTCTGTTCTTTTTTAAGAGGAGGTGGAAAGAGGGAAGATGACAGCAAAACCCTGCTGGGAGGACTGTGAGCCCAGCAGATGATGAAATCCCCAACGGTGGGAGCAGATGCACTGGAGTCACCACTCCTGCATGATGTGTAGCACCCAGTCCTGGTACCTGATGGGCTGTGGTGGTTGCCTAAGTCAAGTTTGCTGCAAAAAGATGGTGCAATATGTGGCACTCTGGGATAAACTCATTAAGCTCTAGAACTGCTTAAAGGAGAGCAGAGGTGTAAGGATTTGTGGCTTCTGTTTGAGCGCAGGAATGGGCTCAAATCAAGAGCACTGATGAAGCTCCTTGGCTTGTGATCCAGATTTTCATCTTGTTTTGCACTGCTGCTCTTGGCTGTAACTTTCCCTGGGTTGCTCCTGTCCCTTGCGTGGCCTGGCTCTCAGCAGTACCTGGTCAGAGAGGGGGGAAAGGCAATGCCTGTGCTCTCAGTCTGTGCTGTGTGGAAGCTCAAGCAAGTTAAATAGCACAGAGTTCCTGGGGATTTGTTTAGGAATGAGGTTGGTATGGGCAGAGATTTTAGAAGTTCTTGCTGTGGGTCTGTAGTAAACTTTTGCTGTGTGTTGGCAAATGTCTGTTTTTGGGTTTATGACTTACCTAGAATTCATGTAATTTTTTCCTTCTCAGCAGCAGAGGGCACCTGTGAACATGATAATGCCACATGTTTACTAAATAATGTTTTTCTGTTTTGCAGTGGTGTATCTGAGGCCAATGCCAGTCTTTGATATAATTATAAGTATTTCTTACAAGAATTTGAAAATACCTGACTTCCACATTACTTCAAGTCTTTGCTGTTGTGAGACCCCCTTGTTCTACTTGTAATTTTGTTTGCAGCATTAAAATATTTGAAATGTCAGCCCTGGACCTGGAAAACAGAGGGCTGTTAAAAACTTGTAATAGCAATACACAGCTCATTTGTCCAGCAGTGCTCCGTGAAGGCACATGATAGTGCTGGGATAGTGCTCAGTCTCCAGTTACAGGGAGGGATAAGATCTTCTCAGAGCTCACGGGATGTTCCACTGAGTTGGGGGGGGCAGGGAGGGCATGGGCTACAGAGGTTTATTTTAGTTTCCTTCCTTGCCTCTTTCTGGGAATATCAGTTTTCTTTATGTATTACAGACTATAAGTGAATTAAATTTTTGGGAGTAAAATATGACTAGTATATTTTGACTTACTACAGGAATGGAGCAGCTTTGGAGGAATCCAAATAAGCTTTCTGGAGGAATCATTCTTGCAGTAACTTATTTATTAGAGAATCTGAAATACACAATGTTTTCATGACTGAAGTGCTGTCTATTGGACGTGGTAGGCTGTGGGAGTTGAAAGATTTGGCTCTGTTTCTGGATCTGCCTAGTGCTAAAGTACAACCAAGATAACAAACTGCATTTGACAAGAAAACAGATATATCTACATATACCTGACTTTATCAAACCTGAGCTTTGTGTGCAAGATAGATTACTTTTGGGGAAAACTGCTTTTGTGAAAGAAACCTAACAAAACAAACAAACAAACCCCAAATAAGTATAATCCCAAGAAACAGCCCTTGGGTTTTGGAGCTGTAAATGTTGTGACACAACTCATGGAATGACAGTATTTCCTATGTCAGGTGATACTGTGCAGATATTGCTTGCTGAAGGTTTTATTTGGGATATGAGACAAACACTTTGAAAGCTGACCTAAAAACATTTGTTTTTCTCAGAAGCTGAACAGGACTATTGCTTTCATTGGCTTCAAGAGAAGATGCAAGACCAGGTTTTGTTGTGAATGTTCTGCAGATGTCATTTGATATCTGGTTTTCCTCTGAGCTCTCAGGACACCAGCATTGCTGTAATGTACACCCAGGCAGACAGCCGCTCTTGGATAATCTGAAGGCATCCAATATCTGAGA